GGTTGGCAGTTCAAAACCACCAGCCGCTGCATGGGAGATAGATGTGGCAGTCTGCTTCCATAAAGATTACAGCCTTGGAAACCCAATGGGGCTGGCAGTTCTATTTTGCCCTATAGGGTCACTATAAGTCAGAATCAACCTACCTGTAATGAGTTTAATTTGGTTTGGGTCTACAAAGTACAGGGGAAAACAGGGATATATGAAATGACCCATGTTAAGCAAAGTGCTCACAATCTAGTTGGACAGAAAGGCAGAAAATGGCAAAGGTCTAACAACACACGCTAGCATAATTTCTGAACATGGGAGAGTGTGCAGGATGATGGGGGTGGGGAGGTGGAAACTGGAATCTGAGATATTGGGGGATTGAGGACAGGAGTTTCTCTTGTGATTCTGAATTTCCAAGAATAAAGAGGCAAAGGGGACCTGCAATCTCAGCTGAAAAATTCTGTGCTTCCATGGCCCCTTGTGTCTATAGCACAAGCTTACAGTCTACCCAAGTGGACCTACCTGGCCAGGAGGAGACTGTCAGAAGGGTCACATTTAAACCCCTTACCCATAGCACAAAGTGCGGTATGAAAGGAAGAGTCATCATCTCTTCCCAGATAGCTTTTGAGGGGGCTGATCATTATGGAAATAGTCCAGTTGCATGCTGATTCTTGTAAATAATAAGAGCTACTTCCCACGTGTGAACAATGTGTTCAGGAGCCTAGTGGCACAATGGTTAAAGTGCTCAGATGCTAACAGAAAGGTAGACAGTTTGAACTCACAGCCACTCCACAGGAACAAGATTCTTCTGTAGAGTACAGCCTTGGAAATCCAATGGGGGCAGTTCTACTGTATGCTGTAGGGTCGCTGTGAGTCAGAATCACCTCGATGGCAATGGTTTTTATCATCATCATTATGGGGAAGTAAATGTGGCAAAAACCAAAAATTTAACATTTCTAGGAGAACCCATTCTATTTATTCAGATTTTCTGTATGTTTAAAATTTTTCAAAATGAAATTAGGGAAAATAAATGTCACCTGCATTTTAAGCACCCCAACACTTCTTAATGCCAGTGGATTTATTAGACTGATTTGAGTGGCATAAGGTTTGTGATGACTATGTTCATGTTAGCTGATTTATTGTAACATTTGAGAAGTTATCTAAGTATGTATCTTTCTATAAGGAGCTCTGGTAGCACTGTGGTTAAAACATTGGACTGCTAACCAAAAAGGTCAGTGGTTCAAACCCACTAGCCACTCCATGGGAGAAAGATGAGGCAGTCTTCTTCTGTGATTATAGCCTTGGAAACCTTATTGGGCAGTTCTACTGTCCTATAGGGTCTCTATGAGTCAGAATCAACTCAGTGGCATTGGGTTGTTTTTTTTTTTTTTTTGTTCAATATATGTATCTTTCTGTTTTGTATTTTTTTAAACATTTCTTACATTTTTCATTGTGGTGAAAATATACACAATAAAATATTTGGCAACTCAACAATTTTTATATGTATAATTCAGTGATATTAATTACATTCTTCATGTTGTTTAACCATTATTGCTATTTTTTCCAAATCATTCCACCACCATTAGCATAAACTCTGTATTGCTTAATTAAGAAATAAAATCTAGCTTTTTATTCAAAAAATGAAAAAAGGAGATTCAATTTGTTAAAATTTTCTTTATTTTCCAAAATAGACCAAAGCAGGGCTATGATCTAGATACCAAAGCTTAAAGACTAGGGAAAAATATACTATCAGATAGGTGATAATATCAATACAACATTTTATAGGTTCCCATAAATTTCTATGTGCATATGCTTGTTTTTAAAATATGTAGAGTAAAAAATACATTGACTTTTCTGCAATAAAGTCACTAATATAGTGAATTTTTTATTTCTTTCCACGAAGCTTTGCTGACCTTCATTACATGCAGTCCCCCTAAGCATAACACTCCCTCTATAGGCAACAGGACATAGGGAGCACACTCAGACCACTGAAGAGAACAACTGTGTGGCTGCAGAGTTGGGTATCATTATTAAAAACCAAAACCAAACTCACTGCTGTCGAGTCAGTTCTGACTCATAGCAACTCCCACTGGGTTTCCGCGGCTGTACATCTTTACGGAAGTAGATTGTCCCCATCTCCCTTCCGCAGAGCCAGTGAGTTTGAACTGCTGACCTTCTGGTTAGCAGCCAAATGCCTTATCCACCAGAGCTCCTTGACTATCATACTAAGCACTGTGAAATATAGGAATATAGACATAGCAAGTCACTAGGAATCAGAGTCAACTCGATGGCAACCAGCAACAGAGTACAGCTCCAAACCCTATCTACCAGGTTCACCAACTAAACCAAAACATTCGGCATCTACAGAAATCGCAAGCATGACTAGACAACTATGAGCATCTTGTTTTATCAACTGTTTTCTTGATGAAAGTCTCTCCAGTCCACTCACCTCATTCTCATTCAAGAGAGAAATTTAAGTTTAGGCAAAATTATATTCTTCCACCCATGCTTCACTGTAAGGGCTTTGAATCTGCTCATTCTCACTGTGGACCTTAGCATGTTTAGTGACTTTGAGGTTCATTTGTGCATTCCAAATGAGGTGGTAGTTACTGTTGAAAGTACATTATGTTGTCTATGCAATCCTTGTCTAATCTACAGAAAAATGGTGGGCTTGATGTGCAAACTCAAGGACCACACATACAGATGGGATGGTTAAATATCTGATGCATCAGTATCTATGTTCTAGTCTACGAATAAAGAATAGTATAGTGAGTGGCAATATTCTGGTCTCTTTTTACAGAAAACTGTAAAATTTAGAACTCAGCTGTAACTTTTAAATTCACACTGAAAACAGCTGGCTCATCCATCTATAATCTGAAAAATGTTAAACATTTACATTTATTCATAAGATATGTAGAACTTTGAGAATACAATATACTAAATTATTTAAGAATTCCAAGCCACAAAGTACATATTGCTTAATGCAACTTTTACTGGACTGAGACAATTATGTGAAACAGCATGTACAAACAATCAGAGACTTTGACTTTCCTTGGAAATAATCTGTTGTCTGAAAAGAAATCTCCACTCCACCAGGGTCTAGCCTCTTCAGGCTGTATTCATTAATTAATTCTAACTACATCACATCATAGAATTCAAAGAAAAGAAAATAAATCCCTCTACCAAGATGAACATACCTCAAAGGTGAAGTTTTACAGTCCTACTAAAAAGCCACACAATTATCAATTATTCACTGAATTTTAAAATGTTCTATATAGAATTGGTCAAGAACTTAAATAACATTTTCCACATAAAATGTGCCCATGTAAAATGCACACATATCACACATGTGATGCTCATAGGAAACTAACATGCAAGATGTTATGCATTTTGCAAAAATGGCACAATATGTTATCAGCATAAAAACAGTATTTGGGTACAAACCTCAAATAATTTTCAGGTATCTGCCATTTTTCCCCCCTTGTTGGGCAATCAGTTGCCTAGAGGTGTAAGTCAATAAACAGAATGGCACAACTTAAAAGCACCTGTGAACACGTATCACCAATCAAGTCCACTTTCTTTTTCCCTCCTTTTCTGCTCTTAGCTCTACGCAATATTCTCAGATTAGTGGTTCTCAAATTGAAGTGGTCATGACCACAGAATAATTTGAAACAAGATTCCCTGGTTCCACACTCCAGAAATTCACATTTTGTAATCTAGGGGGGAGGGCCAGCAATTTGTCTTTTGTATTTCTAATGTGCGTGGATATGGACAACTCTTGAGAAATATTGGTTTTGAAGACAAGTTTTTCTTGCTAGGATCATGAATTGTGGTTCAAACCCACCAGCTTGCTCCACAGGCAGTCTGCTTCCATAACCATCTACTGCCTTGGAAAACCTTACGCAGCAGCTCTACCTGTCTTACAGGGTCACTGATTCAATGGCAGTACCCCCAAGCCCCTACCCAGGGACCCTGGTGGTATAAATGGTTAAGCACTAGACCACTACACTAGCAAAAGACTGGTGGTTCAAACTCACCCCAAGGCACTGTAGCAGACAGACCTAGTGATCTGCTCTGAAAAATCACAGCTGAAAATCTTATGGAGCAATACTACCCTGCACACATGAAGTCACTATGAATTAGAATCAACTTGATGGCAACCAACAACTACCAAATACCCAACACTTCCTCGTTACAAGTATTAATCTTCACATAGATGAATTCCTCAAGTGCAAACCCCTTCCTCTCAGTAGGCCTGCCAAGAAAAACCACCAGCATTCAGCACATGACCTACATTGAGAGGAATTCAGATTTAGTGATCACTAGAATATCTACTGGATATATTTAAAAAATAAAGGTCAACAGTATGTTTATCTTACTCAGAGGTTCCAACACTTTTTATTTTGCAGACCACTGGTTGTAGCGTTTGAAGACCAACATCTATATAAATTCCTATAAAATGTCCAATTAATTTCAGTTCTGTAGCAGCCTTATATATGTACTTATGGCTTGAGTTGCAGTTATACATGCATAAAGGCTGCCTGATCATTCCTGAAGGGGAGTGCGTCCGAGTTAAAGCCTCTTCCAGGGAGATTCATCTTCTGAGTGATGGTTTCCTTTGGCAAAAAGTTGATGAGTTTACACGGCCTGGGTGCCTGTAAGCAGGAAGCATTCAGAAACCTGGAAACACGGTGCCTTTTCCCTCATGAAAACAGACACCTGAGGAGTCAGTGCACTTGTGCTTAGTGACAGGATTCCCCCTTAATCGTTTAGTAGGTGAAAAATATAAGGAAGCCTCTGCTTTTAAGTAACACAGATAAAACACCTTCTTCAATCGCCTATTTGTTCTAGAACTACAAAATTTAATTCAAGAAAATATAGGTCCCATGAAAGACTTAAAAGTTTTATAAAACTAAAATCTAGTTTTCCCCAATAAATCGTACTTTATAGGCAAAACCCTCCCAATGCTTCTAAAATAATACTAAAAGGGGCATCTGATTATACAAGAGCAATAAAAAAAATTAAATATTTATTTGAATAACAAGTTTAAAAGTCTGAGCTGCAATGTTGGCAATGCAGATTTTTAACACAGATCACAAAAAGCGTGCACAAAAAAGTACTGGCGCAAAGGACAAAAAAATGCTAAGAATTAGGCTAAACAGCTGCTGATTTTAAGATAAAATGCCTGAAATCACTATACAAAATATAAAATGTATTAAACACTACCATCCACAGAACAGTCTTTATTACTGATTATATTTAAAAATTATTTGCGTAGTTAATTATATATTGAATTGTAAATGAGTATTATACATGAACCCCCTCTGGGGAGGCAATTCCTTGTTGCACTATAGAACATCTAATTACATTGCAAAAAGTATCCTTTTTTGATATCAATAAAGAAAACAGTTATTGGTATTACTGAAAGTATCAGGAAGGCTACAAAAAAAAGAAATAAAATTTCTTTTTTGTCTTCAAAGTGCTTTCCATGCAGAGTTAAGCACTTGCCTTGTTTTACTGAATGCACTACTGGGTAAAGTCATGGGTCAAAGAGATGCTCTTGAATGATTAAGTCTAGGCTTTACAAATTAAAGACTCAAAGAAATCATGCAACCCTCTCACCACTGGGATACCATTGTGTCACTTACCAATTTTGTCTTTCCAGAATACCACTCAAGACATTTAAAAAAACAAAAAAAGGTCAGACTTCTTTTAATGATAAATATACACAAAATGAAAAGACACAAACTGCTAGTTGACTCTACTATTGGTAATGTCTGTGCTATGTGAAAGCACCTTTAAAAGAGCCTATGCGGCAAGAGATAAGTGTCTAAAGATTCAAAATGAATCAACAGTATTGGATAACAATATAATTCTCAACTCAGAAGCTGCCTCAAGACTAGGTGCATCTTCAGTTAATGTAACAGGAAAAAAAGGCAATGGATTTTATTTTATTAATTGCATCCACTCACAAACCGACCTAAGGTCACCAAATGTGTAGACACAATGAGATTTTTGTTGTTTACAGTCTTTAATTGAAGTGATGATAAAGGAATAGATCTATTTAAACACAAAACCAAATAGCGATTTCTGTCTGCATTAAGAGGTGGCACCAGGCGTGGGGTTCACGTTTTGAGTGGCCACTTGTGGCGCGACTTCAATGATCCGGGGCTTGTCTATGATTCTGGCAGTACGGTTGCCCTTCTCTACAATCCCAATAATCCATGCTTGGTGGCCTTCACCATATTTGGGGGACTTTATCTCTGCACAGAACCGAGCGGCTTGCTCACGTGGTAAACAGATTAGAAGGCCTCCTGACAAAGGAAAAGAATTATCATTAGTGATGACACTTTGTGAGCAGTTTTTCTACCCTCTATCCCAACAACTTTGCATGTGCAAGTTGCTCTTTCTGTTCAGATAAGAAGCCTGTTCCATTCTGTCTTTGCCTATTCCACAGATTAAACTGCAGAGTAATTAAGCAATTTCTTGGTAAACTACCATCAAAACAAACAAACAAAGCAAGCTTTAAACTGAAAGGAATGATTTATGAAATCATTTAAAGCTCTGAGAGCTAAATTAAGGTATTTGGGGTCTCAATAATGTAAGTATGGGTATTTTTTTCCATGTTACATTGAAAGAAATATTTATAAACAAAAGATTCAACTTGATTCTCTACACTGGTCCCTCATCTTATAAAGAATGCATGTTTGCATTTTGTGTGTCTGTGTGTAAAAAATGTTACAAGAGGATTGAGGAAAAGAACATATGCTTCAGGGTTTTCTAGTCCTAGTCCTAGCTGTCATTATCTCCGAAATTGGAAAAAGTATAAAATACATTAAAATAAACCTTTGCTATTTCTAGTAATTAGGACAGAAACTTTTATATATTTACAAATGGAAATAACACAACCAGAAAAAAAAAGATATACTATGCTTTCACACAAAAAAAAGTGTAAAAAAAAAAAAAAGGAAAAACATTTAGCTTGCTGGTAATAGTCATTAATTACTTCATTAAGTATTTTATTCAGCCCACTAGGTGTCAGGCACTGTTCTTCTAGCCAAACACTGAAGAAATGAATAGAAGTCCCTGCCCTCTTAGAACTTATTTGGGGAGGAAGGGACAGAAAATTGAAGGGTTGAAGTATTCTCTATAGAGACTCTGAGAAGCACAACTTCTCCGTACCAGAGTCCTAAGAACTCAAAGCCATTCTATAGAGGCTGACATGTGGGCAGGCTGTGTGGTCCCCACCCTTGCTGATACCAGAATCCTGTAGGGAACTTTTATAATTACTGATGTCTAGGACTCCACAGCAACTATCCACAATAGCAGGCTCACCCCAGCCCAATTAATTATACCAGGTTTTCTGGCAGTCAGGCCTAGCTAGGCATGGGTATTTTTTAAATCCCCAGGTGATTCCACACTTTTGCCAGAGTAGAAAATTACTGAGATATAAAGGAAAGAAAATAGTTATCAGAGAAACAGGAAAAAAAGATGACTTGAAAGATGAAACCGAAGAGTAAAGGGAAAAAGAAGAAAAATGGGGCAAAAAAAGAAAAATAGCACCTAGAAGACAATATATACTATTTCATTCTTAAAACAGCAATTTTAGACATTTCTTACCAAGGAAAATTACAGCCTGCTTAGTGTAACCATCTATAGATAGGTACTAAAGTTTATTTCAAATGCTAAGTTTCCAATGAAAACTGAGTAATGATTTATTTTTTCTCATATCTCTTCCCCACTCACCACATCACCATATCCTAACACCAAAAAGGAAAACAGGAATACTACACATAAAACCATGATGCTCGATCAAACATAAGATGGCAAGAGACTGTTAACCTACAGCACAGGAGGGAACTAAAAACATTAGTTGCTAAAGGAGGCCAAGGTTGTCAGCACTGACCTCACACAAAGTGGGGTCATACTCATGTACTTGGCTTCTTCTTTCTCATGGAACTTTCCGTTAGCCTCACTAGTTTAAATCCTCAGATTTGGACCCAGGATCCTTGTACCTGATGTCTCCGGGCAGGTCCCATGCATGAGGCCAAACATGTTTCCACAGGCCTTGCTCACAGCTGCCATCTTGGCCAGCACAGGGAGGTTGTGAATTACAAACGACACTTCGTTCCTTTGTTGCTTGGCCAGGTTCTGTGCATGGCCCAAAATTCCAAAGCCTGTGATGTCCGTGGCCGCATGGGCGTTGAACGTGTGCATAAGTCCTGCAGCTAAGAGGGGGCAAAAGTAGCATTTACTAGTTGGTGTAATAAACAGTGACTCCGAGGAAACTATCTTTCCCCAATTCAAATCTTGTATCAGCTATTGATCTTGTCCCTCCATTTGTCAGGGAGGTGGCACACAGGCACAATAAAAATGTCATTTTTAAAAATCAACAAAAACTAGAGTGAAATTCTGATATTTATTTCAATTTGAATCACTCAGAACAGCAGCTTTAATCAACAGTAATTCCCAAGTAAACTAATCAAAGATGTCCTAGAATCATAGAAGAGGACTTTTTTAAAGATTACCTAACCCAAAATCACGAACTCTAGCTAGAGGTGAACTCCGTGAAGGGCTAATTTTTCAAAATTTGAAAGCTCTTCTCATTAAAGACATACTCTAGAGTAAATGCATACTTCAGTAAGTTTCCTCTTTTTAGACCAATTATCTTTTATTTAGGTGCATTCTGAACAGAGGCAGAGAACTGAATTAAGATTTCTAGTCCATTAAGGGACCAGACATAGTAACCATTCTATTAACACATCTATACCCAGGCCAGTGGGGTAGCCAGGGCAGACGTCCAACCAGAAGGCTGCAGTTCAAACCCACTAGCCACTAGATGGAAGGAAACTGGGCCATCTACTTCTGTAGAGATTCACCACCTCGGAAACCCAAAGGGGGCCGCTATGAGTCAGAATCAACTCCATGGCATTGAGTTTGGTTTTGGTTCTTTTTTCTTTTTTCAGTACTCCACTATATGTATATAAATAATTCAGTCATTCCCCTATTGATAGACACTTGGTGTTTCCTATGTTTAGCAATCACACAGTGCTGCAATGACTAGCCTTGTACATATGTCATTTCATATTTTGGCCCTTGTAGCTTTGGGAGATTCCGGTAAGTGGGCCTGCTAGATCCAAAGGTAAATGCCGATATAATTTTGCTAGATATGGCAAAATGCCCCTCCATAAGGGTCCTGTTACATATTGCATTCCTACCAACAATATAAAATAGTGTGGGGAATCTGAATTGCTCAAATATAAGGAAATAAACAATCAAAATGGACAAAATCCATTACAAATCATTTTTTCTTACCATTAAACTACTTAATTTGAAGACCCAAAGCAGCAAACAAATTCCTTAAACAGCTTGAGTGACAGATGTCCAGGAGCACTAATGAGAAAACTAGACTGTAAGGAATGAGAATAGCTGAGGACACAGATTACGACTCAATTTCAGAATACTTCATGAGAAATATTAATAGAGAAAGAATTATGTTATGGATTGAATTGTGTCCTCCTCAAAATATGTACTGGAATCCTGACCTCTATACCTTTGGATGTAATCCTGTTTGGAAATAGGGGTTTGTTACTTTAATTATATCATAACTGAGTGGGGTGGGTTCTAAATGTAATCTCTTGAGTTTTAAAAAGACCAGATTAGATACACAGACAGACACACACACACACACTTGTGTGTGTGTGTACATGAGAAAGACAAACACTTGTGATGCTCATCTACAAGCCAATGAACCAAGAAGAACTCCTGAGACTACCTACAAGGAAGTCATCAACACAGCCGTGAACCTGATTTGCACTTTTACCTTCCAAAACTAAAAAGAAAAAAAAATTCTGTTCTTTAAAGTCACACAATTATGCTGTTTGTGTTATAGCAACACTAGGAAATGAAGATAATTACGGGAAAATGACATTTCCAAATGAACTGTCCAAATGTAATTTCTAGCCATCAAAAATTATATCTATTAGGATTATGTAATTCAGCAAAAATAATCCAATAAAATCAAACAAACAAAAGCAGACTCCAAATACATGCAAAATCTGTGACAACCAGTAGTTTAAAACAATAGTATAATATGACTCCACCACCACTTAAGCACAAAAAAGCCTAGAAGAATACTCCAAAGACTGGGTGGTAGGATGATAGACAATTATGTTTAATTTCTACATTTCTCCATTTTCTAAAAAACTCTCTATAATGAGCATGTATTTCTTTTACAGTAATATTATATACACACACATATATATATTACTGTAAAAGAAATACATGCTCATTATAGTTTTATTTATATATATATATAAAATATATAAATAAATAGACAGACACATTTAAGAAATCCCTGAAATGCAGTATGCCATTGTAAACTGTGGCACTACCTGAAAAGCTAAGGGCGTACCAACCTCTTACATATGTGTATCAGAAGCCCCAGATAAGGAAGTGCAGGGAAGCAACTCCAATGTCCACAGACATAAAAGGCTAATCATTCGGTGGAAAATTACACAGAGGTAAAAATGAATGACCTACGGCTACATAGCAGGAATGAATCTCAGGAACATTAAATGCTGGATGAAAACAAAAAAAACACATGCAGGTAGGATTCTGCTTTTAGAGCTGAAAATGCAAAACCAACTTGTTTAGGGATGCAATTCTATGTGATAAAACTATTTTAAAAGGCAAGAGAATAATAAACACAAAATTCAGAACAATGGTTCCCGTAAGTGGGGAATGAAGATAATGGGATCTGGGGGGGGCACCTCCGGGGCATCAAAGCCCATGTTCCATTTCTTACATTTTTCTATTTGTTACATGGGTGTTACATTACTATCCTTTAAGTCCTGCACATATTTTATAAACTTTGGATTTAGTCAGTAACTTAAAAAATTTTAATTAAAAAAAAAAAGGTAAGAGAATGGCACAAAGGTAAAGTTATTTAAACTGTAAAGAGAGACTTTTTTCCCATATTAAGAACAGAGGATCAGATGAGATATTTTAAGGCACTCTGGGTCAACATTTCATTTTTTGAAAATAATTGAAGAATTCATGGCTTAAGTACTACAAACACTTGGTTCAGTCATTTGCAGTAAGGTGAAGAATAAGAGAGAAGAGACGAAAAAAATACCTTCAAATCCATTTATGACTTCTGGTTCACGGAATCTCAAGACAATAACCAAAGAGTAATTTTTTAGGACAAGATTCTTAAACTTCATCAAGTATCTCTGAAGTTCTAATATAGAACGCCACACAATCCAAGTCCTTAAATAATATGTGAATAACGATGAGAAATAAAATTGGTACTTCCACAATAAAAACTGTATATAAATTTTCATTACTAGCTTAAGCAGATGGAATCTGTGATGTCATATAAAGAGCAGTTTCTGAAGTTGTACTTTGAATACCAGATCTGTCATGTCTCTCTTACATGTATATTTCCTTTTGATAACAAGACCCAACTCACAGGAGCACCGAAAAAACAATGAAGCACCTAGAGGAATAACTAGCACATGGTATATAAAACTCACTCACTCAATCCATATTTAATGAGTATGTATTACGTATCCTTTACTTTTTTTCTGTGCTTTGAGTTAAAGTTTACAGAGCAAATTCCTTTTCCATGTAACAATTTATACATATTTTATCTCATGACATTGACTGCAATTCCCCACAATATAACAGCTCTTTCCCACTTCCTTCCTGAAGTTACCTCTTCCTTGTGTCCTTTTTTCCTATGCATTCCTGCTCCGAGCTATCTCCCTGTACAAATACTGCCCTTCTGTTCTCCCATGACTGATAGCTAAGGAGTGTATCTACTCGATGTAAATGTTCACCCTATATACCTATCAATCATTTGGCTGGAATCCAAGGGAGTGAGTTCAATTCCAGACCTATTACACCAGTAAACTTGGTCTTTTGTATGATTTTGAGTTTTGTTCCACAATTGTTCTCCCAGACTACCCACAATCTCTTGCACTTATCTCTTTCTGAGTGGTTGACAGTGGTGGCTGGGCATCATCTAGTTCTGGTCTCACTGTCATATAGGCTGCAGTTCACATGGTCCACTAGTCCCTTCGACTAATTCTTTCATGAGTCTTTTTTTTTTTTCCCCATTTTTCTTTGCTCTGGACTGTGTTGTTGTTGTTATGTGCCACTGTGTTGGACCCAATTCATAGTGACCCCTCCTTGGGTTTCCAAGGCAGTATCACTACAGAAGTAGATTGCCCCCATCTTCCTTCTGAGGAGTGGCTGGTGGGTTTGAACCACCAGCCTTCTGGTTAGCAGTCAAGTGCCTTAGGCACTATGCTCTGGACTAGGAGATAACAATTGTTGCATCTAGAGGGCCACTTGCAAGCTTTTAAGACGCCAGTCACTACTCGCCAAAGTAGGATGTAGAACAATGTTTTTGTGTACATAGTGTTATCCTAATAGGGCTTGATGTCCCTTCCAACAATGGTCCCAAGCCCCCAGGTCCAACAAGTCACTCTATCATGGTGGTTGACTGTGCCTAGAAGTTATCTAAACTCTGCCCATTAGTCCTAGTTATATGGACACTCTTACAGCACATACAAATACTTACGCATAAGTATCATCTGCCAACCTTATGTATAGTCATGGGTATATTACCTTTTGCCTAGACATACCTAATCATTCAGCCTGTCTACCCATGTATTTGCAGTAGATTCATGTTTGTTATTGCTGGTAATGCAGTATTGTATATGTAAAAGGGCCTGCCTCACTTTGTCATCTGTGTCCTTTACTCTTCTCTAAGTGTTGGGGGCACTACAGTGAATGAAACAGACAAAAATCCCTGACCTCAAGCTAACATTCTCAATGCTAGTTTGCTTTCAAAACATTTGCACAGAGCAATCCACACAAATGCTTCTCTAGAAATGTTCCTCTGGCATGTCGGAGTTTAGGACTTCAAGACCTGTGAAAACTGCTTCCTTATTTATAAAATATGGCTGGTACTTTCTATACATGCATGAAAGCCAGTATAAGCAGTGGGTATGAATGTTTAAGCTATATCAAGTGACTCCCTTGGAAGCCTTGGTGCTTTCTAGAAGATGACTTCTGGCTCTTAAACTTTCCCGTTTTATTTTAAACTTTTAAGCTTTCAGCACTGTGCAAAAGCATTGTTTAATTACTATGTACAAAGACAGTGAAATGCCCTCAAGTGCTTCTTGATCATTAAGAGAGAAGTAGAGTATAATACTTAAAAGCATTATAAACAGAGACAGATCTGATTTCAAATCCTGAGCCCATTACTTTTTACCTATCTGACCTTGGGCAAGTTACTAGTAGGTTCTTGTTAGAAGAATTAAATGAGAAAGTATGTCCTGACACATATAACTATAAAGAAATGGCTGTCATTAACACTACTTTTTATCAATACTACAAAGCCAGGCCTAGAAAGAAAATGTAAAGAAAAAATTAGGCCATGAATGTAACTACTCATTTATATACCAAACCCAGAAAATAAAAGTATGTTTACATCTGAATAAGTCAAATACTTCTGCAAACATGTGGCACGTTATTTCCATTTTCCTTGGGAAATTCAGAGAGAACAGATAAATTCAACCTTGTCTATAAATCAAAGAAATTCAAAGTTGGAAGGAATCAAGGGAAAAAAAAAACAAAAAAAACCAACCCTAAACTCTTCATTTCATAGATTCAGAAAGTGAATTCATTAATTCATCCATAACTACTCTGCTTCTGCTTGGGGCCTGGCACTGTTCTCATTGTGAGTTGATTCTAGGCCAGAAGGGTAATAAAGATGCCGATGAAGCCTCAGTGCCCTGGAAAACTCCAGGTGCACAGATGAAGAGAAGCCTAGTAAAAAAACATTTATGCCCCATTCTAACCTACTATTTAGACTAGTCATTAGCCATTTATTTTCACTAACACAAGTCAGAATTAATGCTCATTTCTGTCAAGAATATAAAATGTATTTGGATTCCCACTAATGATCATGGAACCCAACCCAACTCACTGCCATCGAGTCAATTCTGACTCATAGCAACCCCTACTGGGTTTCCAAGGTGGTAAATCTTTATGGAATTAGGTTGCTCTATATTCCTTCTGCAGAGTGGCTGGTGGGTTTGAACCGACAACCTTCCAGTTAGCAGTCAAATGCTTTAGGCATTATGCCACCAGAGCTCCTTAACCCAGGCACTAATAGAAGGTTGGCAAATCCAGCCCATGGCCCCTTTTGGCAAGCCCCTGAGTAAGAAAAATTTTTTACATTTTGAAAAGATTTAAAAAATATATATATATCAACTTGGAATTGAGAATGCATGTGCCTACAAAGCCAAAAGTTACTATCTTGATCCTTTCCAGAAAGTTTGCCAATCCCTGCAACAGAAGATCCCTCCCCAACCCCTTATACCTGTTCTGTTGAGCCTTGCCATATTCATCATTGCTTCTTGGTATGCCAACTCTACATCCTCCTGGGTAACCACTAGTTTAATTTTATTCCATTTTTCAGGCTAATAATAGGTAGGTAAATGAGGGAAAGAAGAGGGAAAAATGTGATTAATCTTCACTTCTAACCAAGGACAAAAAGAGTTTATTTTTCTTACTCATTTCCTCTGGGAAGTTTTGTTTATCTACTGTTGTACACAAAGTTAAGTTTTCTTAATTTTTTCTTCCCCTATGAGTATTATTTTAAGTGTCAAGTAGATGTATCATTATAGCATCTTTTCTGCCCTGCACTCCTATGTATGCAATCAAATATTGGCAGTTTTGGGGATGTAAAATCTGGCAGAAGGGTATACCAGTTGCAGGGCATGGTCTATAACAGGTGTGTCGAATACTGGGTTGCAGCTTGCTTATCTTTGGTGAGGGGTAGGTCATATTATTAATCGCTTTAGATGCCCTTTAGCTCTCCTCGCATCTCTTTATAAAGTTGATGACTTTTACTTTTCATATTATAGTTACACTTTTACTGACTTTAGCTGAATTCTGGGATCAAGTCATCTCAATGGCCAAATGAATGTTGAAACCACTGAGGTATCACACTGAGGAGAGTCTTAAGTGACCACAAAGGTTATCTATCATCCAAATGAAAAGAAAAAGGTCTTTTCTCTTTTTCCCTCAGTCTGATTTTCAAATAATCTAGCAAAGATTAGGGGAAAAAAACACTCCTATCTACTCTCACAGGGCAACACAGAACAAAAAACTCCCCAAACAGTGAGAGCTATGTGAGCGCTGAAGAACTAGAGCTGTCATGATGCTTGATTCATGACACAATGTTATCACTAGTCCATTAATGGCTTCATTCATTCATTTTAAAATAATAATTAATCTATGACCCAATGCAATAACTGTTGGTATGTGCCACTGAGTTGATTCCAACTCATAGCAACCCTACAGAACACAGAGCTGCCCCACAAGATTTTCAAGGCTGTAATCTTTACAGGATCGGAAGGAAGATGTGGCAATCTACTTCCGTAGTGATACTGCCTTGGAAACCCGAGGAGGGGTCACTGTGAGTCGGGTCTGACTCCACGGCACATAACAACAACAACAACAACAATCTTTATAGGAAGCACTCTGGTAGCATAGTGCCTAAGGCACTTGACTGCCAGCCAGAAGGCTGGTGGCTCAAATTCACCAGCCACCCCTTGGAAGGAAGGTTGGGCCATCTACTTCTGTAGTGATACCACCTTGGAAACCCAAGGAGGGGTCGCTATGAGTTGGGTCCGACTCCACAGCACACAACAACAACAACAATCTTTACAGGAGCAGATCACCATGTCTTTTCTCCCGTAGAGTGGGTGGTGGGTTTGAACCACTAACCTTCTGGTTAGCAGGTGAGTGCTTAAGCCACTGCATCACAAGGACTCTCATCATGAACTAGACATTAGCAGTAACTATCTATGTGCTCCTCTCCCTTATACCAGCACCCCTGTCTCTCCCCCATAAAAATCAACTATTCTGCAATTCTGTACTTAACATTCCTATGCCTATTAAAAAATAATATTCTCACAGATATTGAAGCCTGAGTAATATACTCTTTGGTTGTTTCTAACCTCTATAAACAGTGTATTTTGTACTGTTACATAGTGTTTGGAACTTGATTGTTCCCAATTCTGAGCATTTAAAGAACAACAACAACAAAAAAAAAACTGATAAAGAAGAGTGTCAAGTTGGAGGTGGGGAGAAAATAATTCTAAACTACCTCATCTTTTGATACCCTTTTGCCTAGCCTAACTCCAGCTTCCTTGCTAAATCACTTAGACCTGGATAGCTGTATTAGACAGCAACTGTGGATTACTGTCCTGTAATGGCCATCCAATCCAATTTACAGGTGTCAATACCAGATGTGGGAAATCTCTCCATCATCAATGGATCAGGAGGGAAAAACACTTAAAGAAATGTGGCACCTTAGAGAACTTCTCTACTGCATCAAACTAAGGTAAACTTGGATGATGAACCACATAAAATTATGTGTTCTTCCTTTTCAACTGTTTCTCAGGACTGATAGTTTGAACTGATGTAACAAAATGAATGACTCCTTTCTCCAAACCCTCTAACAAAAATATCCATGCCCCTCTCCCTGCCCAAATAACAGAAAGTGGTTTACTTACAATATCCAACCACTGGTGCACAGCTACAGCTACTTGCGTACCCAAGGGTTTTGTCAGGACAAGCACATCTCCCGGCACTGCATTATCTGGCCTGCATAAAAGGAAAAGAGCATTTTCTAATCAAATTAACCAACTAAATAAATTCATGATTATTAACCAGAAGGTAAATGCTATTAAAAAACATTATTTATATAAACACACACTTAAATCTAAGCCAACTACCACCATGTTCTAGCATCTTGTTCTGATGCTATTGCTGGAAAAAAATATTAGACAGAAATTGACAGGCAACTCATTTTCCAAAAACTAGACCTTAAGACAGAAATGTCTTTCAGTTCAAACCTAAATCATTCATACCTTAATGGTGACATGTTCTTGTACTTCACTGGTTATATGCAACCCATGAATTTATATAACAAATTGGTGACAAGCCAAGTGTGATGAAATTAGTGGGTTATTTTTTAAGCTTTTGGGTATCCCCTTTTAAAAGATATAATCACTTATATAGGCTCATTCATTTTTTTTTCCCACAAAGTAAATAGCCAAAAAACTCATTTTAAGTTTATTACTTTTTTCTCTCCAATTTTTTTTATTTTTTATTTGCTATCATCAAGTCCTTTTTCTACTGGAGAAGTGGAATGGGTGAGAAAGAAGAACTTCAGGATCTTTGTCCCCTGTCAGTAGAAAAGATCCTAAAGTCTGAGAACAAGCAACATACAATAGGAAAATAAAAACACTGATGAAAGTAAAATGCAAGATCCTTGAAGGAAAGCTGCCAGACGATGGCTATAAAAGGAACTTCTACTAATTAAAAAAACGAACAAAAGATACGAACATATGAAAATATGCTTAACTTACTCGTAAGAGAAATGCAAACTGAAAACATCAAATGATTGGCAAAGACTGTGAAGTCCTTAAAGTGTGCTGGTTAGGGTGCGGTGAAACCAACACTCTCATTCATTGCTGGTAGAACATTATTGCCCAAAGCTCTATGAAGGGCAATCTGGAGACATTCAACAAAATCACAAGTGCACATATTGTTTGACCTGTTGTTACGTGCTGTCAAGTTGGTTCCAACTCCTAGCAATCCTACGTGCAACAGAACAAAGCACTGCCCAGTCATGCGCCACCCTTACTATCCTTACTATACTCGAGCCCATTGCTGCAGCCATTGTGTCAATCCATCTCGTTGAGGATCTTCCCCTTTTTTGCTGATCCTCTACTTTGCCAAGCACAATATTCTTCTTGTCTTCTGTCTTCTGACAAGACCAAAATAGGTGAGACAAAGTTGGACTACTTTACCTTCTAAGGAGCATTCTGGCTGCACTTCTTCTAGGACAGATTTGTTTGTTCTTCTGGCAGTCCATGATATTTTCAGTACATTTCGCCACCACCACAGTTTGTCTGACCTAGAACTCTATTTTGTGAGTTTTTTTTCCTTTTTTTTTTACCCACATATTCACATTTGTCGAACATGATTTAGAGAAAGAGAGACAGAGAGACACACATACCAACTGGTCAGGTGACATGAAAGAAAAATCAGCTTACATGATAAATTCATTGGGCTGGCAGACAGTTGTAGCAACTCCTCCCAGAACAATCCAGGGGTTTAATACTGTTTGGCCACCTGTTACAGACGTCCCTGCTTCTTCTGCTGCATCTTTAAAACCCTGTATAATTAGGGGCATCACTTTATCCCTTTCCTAAAGTTTAAAAGATACAAATTAAAAGTCAAATAATTCAGTTCAAAACCCAGGAAAGAGATTTTACAACTGTAGTTACAGTTTACAATACAACCATTTTATCAAATGCTGGAAGACGTTCTAGGTTACAATGAGAATGAAGCTCAGACAGAAGAGAAGCCAAAACTGGACTATGACTGGTTCCACAGCACTGCCTTTAAATCTGAACCAGCCATTAAATGGTTAAGAATCACAAGACCAACTTAATATGCATAAATATTCCTTACCCCCAAATGGCTTTACATTTAACCAAGGAGTGCACACTGATTGAGGGCTATGGAGGTAACTTACACCAGGAAAGCTCTCACCGAAATCACTGCATAATAGATGATCAAATCACACCTTTCTAAGGAAGAAAAGGGCCTCTTGAAAACTGACTTCTAGGAGGAATGCCAAACTTTTCTGGGGTCACAAAAACAAGTACCTGTCAAAAATAATCTAAATGGTTTTTCATCTCTGGATCAAAGAATAGGTAAGAAGGATGTGGACAGGCTGCCAGGTGATGATACCCATCACTGTCTACACTAGTGAATGAACCAAAAAGGAAGGTGCCTGGCACTCTAAATTTCACATACCCCTGGCTCTGTAAGGCTATTCCCAATCCACTGACCTAGCCCCCATGCACTCTATGACCTAAGACTTATTTAAAACAAATGAACAGCAACTTTTTGGCTCAGCCCAAAAAGAGAAAGAGAGAAAGATAAGCAGGTGGTAGAAATGAAAAGGTAACTAAACCAGACTCTTAATTCTGATTCACTAATAACAGCTAAACATGGCAGGCCAGGACTATTGGAAACCATCTAGCCTGGGCACCTTACTTTATAGACGGGAAACAAAAGTCTAACCAGTTAAGTGATGAAACCAAAACACTATACTAGTCTGTAATGGAAAGTTCTCTTACTTACCCTGTCAGTCATTTTATTGCTAATTCCAAGGAGCATCAACATATTATCACATTCTGTGACTCCCATTGCGTAGAGGTCACTGAGGACATTGGCACATGCTATCCTGCCCTGAGAAGAGAGGGGAGGGAGATGTAAGAAAGGATAACTTGGGACTTCCCAAGTACAGGCCAATGAAGAGACTCAGGGGCTTTCTGGAAATGGCAGCTACTGGACTGGGTCCTGACCTACTGTGAACTGATGACTAGTAACCCTTCCTTAATTACAGACCACACCACTCAACTACATGTTGGACATTCTTGTTACCACCTCTCCATTCCTGCACAGAACAAAGAATGTATATGTTCTTTCCCACTGTAAACACTAGAAGTCTACAGTTGATTTAGATGGGGACCAGGGGTTGGGGAAAAATCAAGGTTGGGAATGACAATTTAAGAGGAAGAACTATGGAATGACAATGTTTGAAAACAACCATCCTAAAGCAAAGCTGAAAATAGTCACTTGTCCTCAACAGATCCAAGAAAATTATGGCTTAAATTTTATTGATTCTGAAGAAGGTTAACAGTTTTTATACACTTGGACTGAAAAATATTTTAGCTTCCTTCCAAGGTTGTATGAGATAAATAGGATAATCATCTTATTTGAGAAACAAACAAACAAAAACCAGAATAAAAACCATCTAGGCCTGAAGTCAGATTGTTTTCTAAAAAAAAGAGAAGCATTTCCCAGTAAAATATATCATCTTACTATGAAGTTTAAAATGATATTCAATAGAAGCATCGTAATAAAGATTTTTGTATTGCCACTTGAGATTTTTTAAAATATAAGTTCCACTGTTAAGACCATTATTTTTGTTAGGCAGTAAAGGAGAACACAAATTTGTTTTCTAACATTTAGCTAACCAAATTTCAAAGTATCATTTGATAGTTACTTGTTATTTTTATTTTCCTGTGGATTCATGGTAGGTCAGCAATAGAACTCAACAGCCTTCTGTAGACCCATCTTTTTTTTTTTGTCTTTTCCTTCTTCTTTATTTTTAAAATACAATTTGTTGAAATATAATTTATGTACAGTGAAATAAACAAAACTAAAGTGACATGGGTCAATGCATGTAGATCCATCTTTTATAGGGTTGTCATGTTATTGTTATGTGCTGTTGAGTCGGACCCGACTCATAGAGACCCCTCCTTGGGTTTCCGAAGTGGTATCACTACAGAAGTAGATTGCCCAACCTTCCTTCCGAGGAGTGGCTAGTGGGTTTGAACCGCCAGCCTTCTGGTTAGCAGTCAATAAGGCTAACAAGTGGTTTGCAACTTGGAAATGTCTACCACTGGTTAGGGTTGTAGCAACTCACTGCCCCCTTCTGTTCTGGGCTCTCTCAGACTCTCAGAACTTTCTTTAAAAGTTAAGAAAAGTATAAGTGGAACCAGAATAGAAGAGATTCTGGGAAAAAGCAGGATGGATTCCAATTGCAGCCTTCTTTGCCACCTGGGCACGTAGGACACTGGGATGTGACACACCTGCCCATCCTCCAGAGTATTGCTCCAGACAAGAGAACAGATGGATGTGCAGAGGGAAAACAGGTTTCTAATAACTTGTTTACTTATCTCTAGCATCTGAGAGATGAACACCCCCTTCCCTCCATGTAGTGACCTCACAGCCTAAGGATGCTCCAAATCTAGTCCCTCTGTATACAGCATGATCCCAGTGTCCTTGCCACATAGGGCATCTAGTATTTTATAACAAAAGGCATCTTCCCAATCTCTTCATTGGCTTCTCCTGGCTGGCAGATGGTAGGGTTAAGACTGGTAGATTAAAGGGTTGCTGGCCATAACTATGTAATAAACATGTGAAAACATCTAAAAAGAACATGTTCAGGAACTAGGAATTTTAATTCAGTGGTTCAGAGATGTATTATACATAGCAGAATATAACACAATGGGGTGATGTATGGCAGTTGGGAAGGAGGGACCAGATACCCTAAACATGTTTTGTGATGATTTCCTTTATTTCCAGGTCCATCTATTACAGAGTATGTTAACATCTCTAGCCTGAAACAGAGTGAGTTTACAAATGTTAAAGGAAGAAACGGGCAAGGAGAGAAAGAAAACAACTACAAAAATGCTCAACAGACATTCTACTAAAACATTTCGGTATTCTTACGCACAGACATATACTCAGCTACGAAAGCAGCAGAGGCTGTTCCCTGCTTCTACATTAAGTACAGCATGAGCAGGGGGTATATCAATTTGCTGCAAATGCAGGGATCAAGCCATCATCATACCCCAGTGAATATCATTTAGATATGGCAAAAACAAAAAAACCCTCACACATACAGAAAACCCCAACTGCAAACAAAACAAAACGAGTAATCAGTTTCAGATGTGAGAACACATCTGATCAAACTTACCATCATGTAAGGGTCGTCCACAATAGGGTAAATGTAATCTGTGGTCTGAACCAAGGAAAGACCACCATGCCTCAAAGGAATGACACAAGTATCCATTCCAATGCCTGAAAAGACGGAAAGTATTTCAACTTTGCAGTCAAACAACCCAAAGGCAGGGGGGAAAAAAAATTAGGATGAAGTACAAAAGGAAGCAAGTGGATTTTACCCTCTACATTTCAAATGAAACAGGATTATCTGAATTGTACTAAAAGAGTACAGGACTTCATATTTTGCCGAAGAAAAATAGCTAGGTATCAAACTCCTTCAGAACCATCATTATCCACAAATACAAAGGAAGAGCCACTTCATTTTTTACAGTTGGTGCTCTGGATAGGAAGTTTTGTGTAAGGTACTTATGGAACACTGAAAGCTGCCAAAGAGGCAATGTGTTTCCTATCAAGAAGCATAACAACACTAATGTGAAACACAACCAGCTTAAGATATAAAGTAAGAATAAGAATTTGTTAGTCATCAAGACCCAACTCCAATGTGGCATAATTTTAGACTTAAAACGATGCCTTGAATAAAAGTTTTCACTACATTGTGTGACTGGCACCATACAAATTTTCTTTAAAGGTTAAGAAAGTAGAAGTGGAGCCAGCGTTGTTTTACCTATAGTGCCACTTTAGTAAATCTTTAGGCATTATTCGCTTTTCCCAACTAAGAATTTGTAAATATTTTACATAGACAAATGCTATTATTTCTACATTTTATCAAAAATGAAAATGATAAAGCCGGAACAGGATCCATAATTTCCACATATATAAAATACACACATACATAAAAACTCTGGTACCTATGTGATCTGTTCTATAGGTTCCCAAAAGCGTTTTTTAAGAGGAAGTATTAAAATTCCATGTTATTCTTCTAGTGAAGAAACTTGTAAATGCCACCTTTACTAACTTATAACATAAACAAGGCCTAAAGTTTGTCTTTGGTCCATCAAATTTTTTTTTTTAACAACTCTGAAAGAAATATTTCAGTTATTGAAAATACTTTCTAAACATTTAAAAAGATAATTATAAACAACTGATAAGGTAATAGAAATAATTCCTTTTCCATGAAATTAGTTTTGTATTTCTTAAATAGCCTGTAATGCAGACATTTTACAAATTGAGACTGGTCTCCCCATCAAGTAAATGGAATATGCCTTTCTTAAAAGGATGCCTTTCTGCCCTCTTAGCAAGTTTTTCAACTTTGCAGTCAAACAACCCAAAGGCAGGAAAAAAAAAATTAGGATGAAGTATAAAAGGTAGCAAGTGGATTTTACCCTCTACATTTCAAATGAAACAGGAGTATCTGAATTGGACTAAAAAGAGTACATGCACTTCGTATTTTGCATGAGCAAAATAGCTAGGTATACAACTCCTTCAGAACCATGACAGTGATATACTGAGTAGAGGCTGGAACACAGAGGCATCTGATTTGCCTGGTCCTAGTCTATTATTAATAATGCAAAAATAAAGTCAAATTTAATAGAAAGCCATAGATATTGTCAAGACAAGCTGATTTTTTTTTTTTTTTTTTTTTTTAACTAGATAGCAAGTAGAAAATACTGGCAAAAGAACCAGTCATGGAATTGAGAATTTTGTTTCAGAATGGTAAGTCTCATAAATTGGAGACAAGGAAACACACTTCATTCTCAACAGAGCAGATGTTCACAGCCTCTCAGAAATTTCTTCTAATGACATTCCTTAGCATTTAACTGTAAACAAGGCCAAGAACCGCATTTTAATTCATGTGAATTTTCCCTAAGTTGATAACCACTACAACTGGTTATTCTAAGTATATTTCTGCTCACTTTGGAAAGCCATGAAATAGTTTTCTTTTCTTCTGACTATTCATTTAAAACTACAAGACTGTAGAAAAAGACATTAAAAAATAGTTGCTGAATGTCAGCTTTAAATGGACTATACTATAGTGATTGGTTTACACATCTACCCACTGAATTCAAGGACAGAGGAGGTGAGCACCTGAGAGGCCCTGGCCCTTGAAAAACTAGGGTATCAAAATGAAAGAGGGGGTCAGTCCAGTTATAGGCGGCAAGTGGGAAGAGAAGAGAATGCTACAGCAATACCAGATACCAGACCAAGTTTAATTATTAGTAGTAAGTAATGGGGAATCCTACATGGTTTTCAGCATGACTAGAACTGTCCATCAAGAAAAACAGCCCACATCATCATACTAACAGTAATCAATACTTCATAGCTCTTGAGTACCAGGCGACTTATGTACCACATTCTAAGACCCACTCATTTGAATATTTTAGTCAAGATACACGTAATATGTATGTGTCCATTTAAACCTGTTACAGTTCATCCTTTAATTAATATGATCATAGGGAAAAATACTATTTTAGAAAAAGAGAAATCCATGGCTATCAAGTCAGTTCTGATGCATAGGGACCCCAAGTTACAGAATAGAACTGTTCCACAGAGTTTCTTGGTTGTATCTTTATGGACATAAGTCAACAAGTCTTTCTTCTGCAGCACTGATGGACATGTTCAAACAGCCAACCTTTAGGTTAGCAGCTGATCACAAACCACTTGTGCCACTCAGGGAGCATCTATGTATATACATTATGTGGGTACACATACATAGGCACACAGATAATTTCTGGTATTTACAGTAATCCCAAATAGTAGTAGTATTCTCATTTTATAACTTAAGAAAACAGAGGCTCAGGAGGGTTAACTCGCCAAAGTCAAAAAGCTGGTGATTTTGTCCGATATGAATCCAGAGCAAGGTTTAAGTCATTAAGGTATATCTCTTCTATACTAGGTTTTAATACTATGCTTCCTTTAGTGGCTGTGCCTGTAACCTGGGGTCTGTCTACCTCAAGGGAATGCTATGGATGCAAAATTTTACAGATGTGCATTTTCTGGGAAAGGTTGCACAGCCATCAAATAGTTGTCGTCTTCTGCCACTTCTGGATTTAAAATGACAAGCAATATGGTAAGAAGAATCGGAAAATGTTGATTCCAGGTCCAGTCCTGATCCCTGACCATGTGACAGGGTATGGATTAGTTAACCTTTCTGAGCTTCATGGGGCTGCTCAAAGAAGCAAATGATCCAAACCATATCAAAGTGCTCCAGGGTGCAAACCATGTCTCAGGTGCTCAACAGATCAACAGGGGGAAGTCATAAACAGAAACAGTGACTTTATCCATTAAGGTTTTTATTTCCTTTATTTTTGCCCATTAAAAGTAGTTTATTTCTCTTGATAAAATTACCTAAGTGTTTTCTCAGTAAATTCTTATTTCTTGACAAGCAAACTGCCACCTAAAATTCAGCTCATTCACACAGTATTCTCCACAGCTGAGACATCAGCTAAAGAAGAACTATGTTCAAAACTAAGCTTCTGGGGGTCTTGCAGGACTCTAGAGAGTATGTTTTCCTCTCTCCCAACCAAAGCAAACTCTTTTATCCACTTTATGTACTGGAGAAGAAAGGCGTACTCTATATTCAAAACCAACATTGTAGGACAGGGCTTTACAACAAAATGATGAACAAAAAAGAAATGAAATAAAAACCTTATGTAAAACAGCTAACCAAATCATAGTATAATTACACAATATCCAAAATCTCAAAAGGCAAAGTAATCACTGTCTTACAACATGTACTTGATAAACCATGCAATACAAGCTAATATACAGTATCCCAAAAGCCTAAAATTTCTGTCTGAATCTATGTTTGGGAAAAGGAAACCCACTAATAGCATTAGGAATTTAGTAATGGAAAAAAAAAAAAAAAAGAACATTGCTTTTAATTCCAGATGATGTTCTAGGGTCAAGTACAGATTCAGTCCAGTCTTCTATTTCTCTTCTGTGACTGGAGAAGTTGTTTTTTTTTTTTTTTTTGCCTTGAGAAGCTATCTGAAACACCCATATTGCAAACCACCCCCCAGGCTCCTCCCTCCTTGACCCAAATGCTGCTCTTACAGTCCTGCACAATGATGCCGAAAGCACCTAGGACAACAAAGGGAATGCAAACATTTTAGGGATAGTGTTAGGATAAAGAAAAAGACATTGATGCAAAAGCATTTGATAAAATTCTTCATGATGATAAATCTAATTTTAGGGGGAAAAAAAAGTTTTTACTATGAGGAGAAGTTTCTGCTTAATCCTGAGGTAACCAAAGTCCATCTAATAAAAATGTTTTTACAGTAATTGTCCTAATTGCACATTTAATAGTTTGAAAACTATTTAAACTACATCTAAATGTTGATGCTTTTCAAGTTCTTCCTCTAAAGATGGTACAATAACATAGCAGTTATTGCTTTGCTGTTTGAATCCTTCTCACAAAATTTTTTTTTTTTTAAATCACATGGGAAAAGTCTGCTTATTGACTCATTGACTGGATTGTAGACAACAGTCGTTTACATACCTAGCCTTGGCATAACTGCTCCCAGAAACTGCTCATCTTCTTGGAAATGGTTCTCTTGTAAGGATTCCAGCAATTTCTGTAAGACATCTTGGGGCACTTTGCAGCCTGTGCCCTTCAGTTCAGTGAATCTGGTTAGCCGGAAGCCCTTATCCAATTCATAACTTTCTGGGTTAAAGGACTCCCGCACAGACATGGTTCTTGGGTGCACACACGTCACAGCTTAGCTTCTTCCCCTCTCTCCTAGTCTGCTGATTTCTTTACAGATCCACCTAGGCATCACCAAAACAGAAAGACATCACGAAAAGAACTCTGGTACTTGCCAAGAATCAAGTGAAGACGGTAAATATGACAAGGGTGGAAATCATCAAGAACCAGGGAAAACAGGGATTTGGGACCACAATACTTTGTTCATCACAGTGATGTATAAGCCAGAACAAATTATTTTTAGAAGTGACTATCCCATCACAGATATCCTCTGGAAGATCTGACATCTAGAGTGTTATAATTATGGCTATGCAAGGCAGCAAGGAGACTGCCTCTGTACAAAGAACTGCGGGCCAGCAGGCTTACTTGACACAGTGCCATCTTGAACAATAAGTCTCAAAGGTTCTTGAAGCACACACTATTATGAGAACAGCACTTCTAGTCACTTCATCTGTTAACTTGGATGCACTGTGGCTTCTAAATTAGAGTTCGTAGCTAGAGCAACTTTTCTGGAAAACTTTTTGCCCTCTCACATAGAAAAATAAAGGGCCTAATAGAAACTGTGCAGAAAAAGACATTGATGCAAATGCATTTGATAAAATTCTTCATGATGGTAAATCTGATTTTAGGGGGAAAAAAAAAGTTTTTACTGTAAGCTAGCAGTATACTATACAATCCAAAAACTAATAGGAGGCCTCACTAAAAAAAAGAGCACAAGTTGAGAACCAGAATGGCTGTTAAAACATAGCACTGTTCATTTTCTTCAAAAGACCGCTTGGGAGGTTTCTGATGTTTTAATGCAGTGCCATTTCCTAGAAAGCAAATATCCCGCCCAAGAAACTAGTACACACACATCATTGACAAAGTATGCTACTGCTCATTACCATTTCACTGCAGAACTAAAAGAAAATTAAACCATACTAAACCACTAGTATTTACGGTACTTGATACCACTCTAAATTTCTGAACTAAGCTCTTCTAAATTTGAAGCCTAAACCAGAAGGTGAAATTTACACGCACTCCTAGCGTTTACAAATCTCCATATTGATACTTTATTGGGCATAGAATTACAGACACCCCAAGTTTTAGGGTCAGTTTTCCCCATAAAATTTATGATTAAGAACATAATTCCCATTTATAGAGTTTTTGGTCCCCTGGGAAGCACATTGCTCTTTTAAAATAAATCTCTCAAAGCTGGAGATCAGGCAGTTATCCAAAAGGTTGGTACAAAAACATGTTTGGGATGAGCAATGATTTCAGTGTGAAACCTACAACTGCACAGGAGTAAACCTTCAAACAATTCAAAGAAACCAACCTGTCCAAAAAAGGGGCAGCAAAGAACCACAGCAAGTCAAGGAGATGAGAATTATGAAGCCAATTTTAGGGTAAGGAAAAAGTCTGAGTAGCACTTTGGGAAAGGTTTGGAACAAAAACAAAATCCTTTCCTCATAAAATGTCTTACATTCAACACCCCACCAAGAAAAAAAAAAAAAAAAATCCAACTCATGAGGCGTCGTTATTTTCCTACCTCCAATCCCTAGCCAAAAAAAAAAAAAAAAGGCGAGGAGAGAAATTTTAGGAAATTCCTTTTAAAATAAACTTGTATTTTCAAATATTTTTAAGGGGAAAAAAGTTTAACACACCTTAAGTCAAGAAGGCACTCTGGAGCTTTAAAATGCCATGTGTAACAAGACTACAAATACAGAGACTCTCACCCAGACTATTAAAAAAAAATAAACTTACAATTTTGGATGGAGGGGAAGAGAACGTTGTGCTTGGCAAAATCTAATAAGTTTTTTTGGGGGTATATTTGCTTAACAAGAGACAGTCAACTCCAACCTAAAAGCCACATGTTTACAACTTTAAAACAATGACATGAATATTTAAAGATAACGGTTAACCCTTTCCTTCTCGGCCACGTTTAAAATTTTTTTTTTAAATGAGAGCGAAGCAGGACGCGTAGCCGGCAACCAAGGGAGCATTTGAAGTAATGGTAGGAAAGCGTGCACCTCGCAGCTCGATACCTACCTACCCCTAAGCCCAGTAAATAAACAATAGAGTGGACACCAGAACGTGGGCGCAGAGGCTCGGCGCTCTCCATGAAGCACAAATCGAGGAGGCAGCCAAAGCGCGGAGAACAGAACTCGGGGACACCTTAAATCTCAGGCTGCCGCCTTTAAAGGCAAATCAGGCCTGGGCAGCGCTCTTTGTGCGGCGCGGCGCCGCGGACTGGCGGCGGCCAGGCGCAAGCAGCGCGGCGCCACCGGCAGGGCCATGCCCGCCTACCCGCCCGCCACCGGCAGCGGGAACCGCGGCCCACTCCACGGAAAGGGCGCGAGATGTGCACGGCCAACCGGCCGCAGCGAGCGCAGTGGGACCCCAACCCGCGGCAAGGCCGACGGGGGCGCCCCAAAGTTAGCCGGC